TATCATTGCATTCAAATTTAATCCCATCCATTACAGTAACCTACTGTACAGCAGAGTGACATCTACGACTTACCCGCTTTTTAACATTACCAAGTACTGAAAAGTCAAACCGACGGCGCTCAATGTAGCACACTGTAATTTTTAGTTCACTCGAACGTAACGCTCGTCATAATTATTGTAGAAAATATTCGCCAAAATAAAATGCTAAAACAACTTAACATTTTATACCTAAAGTCTAAAGCCTAAAGGTCTGTGTCACCATCATATAATAGTATCTCTGTGAGACCTTGAAACATAAATATATTTAATACGGGTTTTCAACAGTCATGTGTGTTCTATTAGAAAATTCTAATTTTCTGACAAAATTTACACATATATAGATTACTGTTGATAAGACCTCATTTAGATAAATTATATTGAATACATTAAATTATGCATAAAATTAAATTGATTTATTACAGAGATATGTAATTAGGTTAATACGATACTTTAGAGACACGCTATATAAATTGTTAGAGAAATCCGTGACGTAAATGAATTGCGCTTCTTATTCATAGGCGTGCGCAGTGGGTAGCAGGATGCAGGGATGCAGCTGCATACCCTGAAGCTCTTTGAAGGGCGAAAATCGACAGTAGAAAAAATAATTTTTGATAATCTCACTATATTATTATATTTATAGCTGTATATCATATACAGTATAGCAAATTAACAGAATATTAGGTATGAGTGTGTTATGCATCTCACACTGCCTCAGAACAGTCTGCATATCTGCAATTAACTAATAGTATAGTTCAGTTGGTGGGGGCAATGTCCTCACTAATTTTTGATTGGGAGGCAGTTGCCCTCATTGGCCCCGGTTAAGTTACGTTTATGGCATAAATGAGGCCTAATCTTAATGGGCAATAGACTTATTAGTCTATTAGTAGGCCATGGGTAAATATGCCTATGTAACATCCAACAGGCTAGTATCAGGTTCAGGCTGCAGCTGTTTTCAGTGGCGTAAACTGGGGGTCGCACGGGGTTGCATTKGCGACCTCTGAAAATATTATAGAGTTGCATGAGTGTCTTTTTGCGACCCCAAAAATCACCACGATTTCAGTTTTCAAAAAATTAAAATATCAATAATTATTTAATTAATTGACTAATTWATWTTTTGAGAACAAATTTTTTATTTTGTTTTGAATCACTGGAATTATTATTATATTATATACTTCCCACATTTTCTTATAGTTTTGGTTTTGACCATTTTCTATTAATATACCTACCAATATGTATTTATTTTGATCGGCAGAGTCGAATCTCAATGGTAGCTGAATATTAATAGTGAAAACGTGTTTCACTATTTCTTGTTTATAGATTAAAATTATTATCATTTGTTTTAGGTACATATTCATTTATTTTTGACACTTGTATTTATTTCTTATTCCGCGAACGATGCAAAATTAAAAGTATTTCAACAGCTTGCTAAAATAGACAAATTTCTTGTAAAAATATCGAAGTCGAAAGTAAGCATCTATTTTTACTTTAAATTCATTTATAACTTTTGATTTGTATGCATTAAGTTTAAAGTAGCGGTTAAACTATATTACTGATTTACATTATATAAAAACTACAATTTTGACAAATAAAACAATTTATTATTATTATTTATATTTGATCTGTAAATTAATTTATCAGGTAATATAATATTATTATTGAACAAGTTTTATACAATTATTTATTAGAGTCTAGATTAAAAGAACTGTAGTATTTTATGTATTCATATATTGTTTAAGAAAATTATACATATTCTATTGACGGTAATTTATTATACCCTATTTATATTGTATATTCATAATACATACCAGTCACCAATAGATATTATATATGTTTAAGGTTAGAATAATTTTGTTGAGATTGTGTACTTTTTACTTATAATATTATATTTAGAACAATATATTGCTTTTTAGGGGGGTATGAGGGGCTTAGCTCTCCCAAAAGTCTGTCTAACCGGGAAACTGATTGCAACCCTAACAATTTAGCCGAATTTATGCCATTGGCTGTTTTTCTTTAAGAAAATTTGAAAATTTGAACAAAAGTTGAAAAATAATAAAAATAGTTCAAAATAACGAGTGCTTAATTTTAATATGTGGTTTTTTATCTTGAACGCGGTAAATACTTCTTCTACCGTGGTATTGGATAACTCGCTTATCTATAGTTAAATAGTTTCCATATCAGTTACAGGTTATCATTATAATTTTATCTGTGGTAGTACCATAGACAATAATAATTAATATTTTAAGTGTTCCTAGTTTGAATTTTGCACTAAATAGTAAATACGGAGTCACTAATCAAAAATAATTGAAAAATATTATTAATTGAACTATTCAATACTGATTTAAAGGTACCTTTCTTTGTATTTGTATTCTACTTTGTATTTGCAATATGTTTCTAATCCACATTGCACTTACCGGCTTTAACTTTTTTAAATTTTAGTAGACACCATGAGCAGTCAGAAAGGAAATGCGACACGCATTCGGCCACAAAAACATCAAAATCGGTTTGCGTTTAAAAATAACCTCCATGACACAAATGTACGTACCAAACGTATGAATTCCATTCAAATTCACAGCGTTTGCCCTCGATGTAAAGACATATTGGAATGGAAGATAAAGTATAAAAAATATAAGATGTTAAAAGCAGCCAAAAACTGCAACAAATGTCATAATAAGACTGTCAAAGAAGCTTACCACACAATGTGCCATCAGTGTTCAAGCACCTTAGAATTATGTCCCAAGTGTGCGGTACCAAGGATCGAATGGGCTAAAGATAATCAGAAAACATCTGAGAACGGAGGTGACGACAAAAATGAGTTAGAAAATAGTGATGATGAAAACGATGATTCAGGAAGTGATGTCTGCAGTAATCCGTCCCCTAGTTGACCTGTCTATATTATAGATGATATACCTAACTCATTTCCATTACTGTTTCATTATGTATATTGGTTTGATTAAAACTTACTCGGAAATAAAGTATTTATTATTATTCTGTCTATCTGAAATTAAAACATGGCAGTTCAAGATTCATATAATTTTGTAATACTGTCATCTCTCAACTATTCAAAGTTGATGGGACTTATGAAAAATGTCTTATGATCCATTGAGTACAGATTAAATTAGTAAAACATAATAACAATATAAATTATAATATAGAGGGGATACTATTCCTGAAATAGGATAAATATATATGAATAATAAACATCATAGATAAATTTTTATAAGAAGCATTTGCAGGGAGCTTACTTAAAGGTATCAGTTTGTGTGAACAGAGGTACCATTGATAATGCTTCAAGTAATTTTATTTTTAAATTTATTATATACATGATTTAAGAATAAAATATAATATTTTAAAATAGAGTATAAATTAAATTTTTTTTTAGTGTAAAAGCATTTGCAAATCAAATGTTTTTATAGACTTATGGCGATAAAAAAAAATTAATACCATAAATTGTTTATTTAAGAATATAACACAATATTCAAATTAATGTAGTTAAAAATGTATTGCAATGATTAACTTCTTCATTGTCATCATTAAATAAATATTTCTATGAAATAAGTTTAACTATTATGTATCTATTTGAATTTTGAACACCTACTGAAGTTGAATCAGGTATACTTAAAAATGTATTGATCAAAACTTGATTAAAAATAATTGAAAATATAGTATTTAATGTTTTGAAACTCTATTCATAAAATTGAACAACATACATTTCAAATATTAAGTACCTTAGTAGATTTTTAAATTATGGGCACCTAGAGAGAGAATTTCATCAAATTATGTATTTCACAAAAATTACTAATTAGTAATTAGTAATTACCATTTGCATTTACTTATAAATTTGATTAATACTACACACGGGCACTTGTTGACGAGGGTATTATCATCTAAACAATATAGACAATAAGTGTGTTTTATTATCTATGGTTTTTTTATGCAGTATTGAGCAAATCGTTAGACAGGCGCGATCAGACAAATAGACGAACTAAGAATTAAGATGTTAACTCCGTTCGTGCTTTCGTAATGCTAAGCTAATACAATATGTACATAGTACTTATTTTTTATAGTAAGATGTTAAGATCATCAAAGTCGGAGGTACTTAGTAATTTAGAGTAATAGCACATAGCACAGACTATATGAAAATATAGTTCATTAGTTTTAAATAGTCTGTGATAATAGTATGTTATTCAACATCAATAATTTTGATTTAATTTTAAAATTTTCAAAACAAATAAACAATATAAAATCATTAAAATCTTATCAATTCTTAATTATGTTATCAGACTAGAAGAATGCACGCAATTTGATCATGTTTTTCAATTAATCATGTATTCATCATTGTCATTTAACTGCGTTTGAATTTTCACAGTTTTTTTAATGAATTTTAATGAAAGTTGCAATCACAAAAAAATAATAAATTTAATATTTAAATTTATAAAATTTAATTTTAGAGATCTGAATATCTGATACCGACCAAATAATTATTATTTATTATGGGTTTCACACCAAAAGTTTTCCACGTTGGCGACACTGTATCACGTAACCAACTTCATGCTCGACCATAAATGCAATTTACAGTGCCGTCGTGCCGATTGCTGGAATGCTGAGCTACAACACGTCTTGACCGTCTTGTTTGCTGAGGTGATAATCATTTTCTTTTTACCCCTAGTTGGAGTTCTCATAAATTTGTCAAAATGAAGTAAGTTTCATCCACATTAATCCCGCTTTCCTACCAATTTGCAATTTTTTTGCGTTGACAAATGCTTTTGGTGTTACTTAATACTACATAATTACCACACTTATTGTTCGTCGTACTATTATGGACGTCGAAATACCGCTTTCGAATATACCGCCAAACTGTCCAACTCGGATGGTTGATGTCTTGTTTTGTTTTATTTATTTATGTTTTTTACTTAAAGGATCGGACTATGCGCCTATAGCGGGTACAAAATCTACCCGGGACATGGCAAAACCATGATCAAAGCCGACGGAAAGGTAATTTTTTTTTCGTATTTCTGTATTGAACGTTTTTTGTTCGGGCTTTCTTATTTTTTATATTGTCCTTAAGTGACATGTATAATATTAAATATCTTCTCTTTTTTATCTTCAGACATTCACTTTCCTCAATTCAAAATGTGAGCGCGCTCATTTAATGAAGAGGAACCCCCGTAAAGTGACATGGACAATATTGTACAGGTAAGCAATTGTTGAATGTTGTCTTATTGTATGAATAAATTCATCTAATAATTCTTTACTTTTGTTTCAGACGCAAGCATCGCAAGGGTCAAGAAGAAGAAACAACCAAAAAGAAGACCAGGAGAACCCAAAAATTTCAACGTGCTATTGTCGGTGCATCCCTCACTGATATTTTGGCCAAGAGGAACATGAAACCTGAGATGAGGAAAGCCCAGCGTGATATTGCCATCAAGTAAGCTAATATATTAGCAGTATATCATAATTCTAAAATATTTAATGCTGTTGAATATATATATAATTGCCATGTTTCCCCAAACGCAGTGGCTATTTTCACGTCCGACGTGAAATTATGTATTTTCACGTCCTGTCCCCTGATTGGACGTAATATTAATACTGATAGTATAACTGATATCAACTACCATAAATGATAAGTGCCATATTTTAAAAGTATCTTAGAGATATAATATAATAATATAACAACATTTCCCGCATAAATTTAAATATTTAAATAATATAATAT